TTAACCTTGTGACTGGGATTGGGTGAAAAGTGCAAGGGGTTAGTCTTGTGACTGGGATTTCGACAAAAATGCTTGTGACTAGAATTTTGAAAAAAAATGCAAGGGATTAACCTTGTGACAAGAATTTCAATAAAAAAGCAAAGGGTTAGTCTTGTGAGTGGGATTGGGTGAAAAATGCAAGGGGTTAGTCTTGTGAGTGGAATTGGGTGAAAAATGCAAGGGGTGAACCTTGTGACTGGGATTAGGTGAAAACTGCAAGGGGTTAGTCTTGTGACTGGGATTGGGTGAAAAGTGCAAGGGGTTAGTCTTGTGACTGGGATTGGGTGAAAAGTGCAAGGGGTTAGTCTTGTGAGTGGAATTGGGTGAAAACTGCAAGGGGTTAGTCTTGTGACTGGAATTGGGTGAAAAATGCAAGGGGTGAACCTTGTGACTGGGATTGGGTGAAAAGTGCAAGGGGTTAACCTTGTGAGTGGAATTGGGTGAAAAATGCAAGGGGTTAGTCTTGTGAGTGGGATTGGGTGAAAAGTGCAAGGGGTTAGTCTTGTGAGTGGGATTGGGTGAAAAATGCAAGGGGTTAACGTTGTGTCCCTTACGTGAAAAGAAAGCCTCGTCAGTGTTAGTGTAACCAATAACAAAAGGCAATTATTTTCTTTGCAGTTTCATTGCTTTATTTATCAGTACAAGGAGCAGATTTGTAACATGATTTAGTATTAAATCCACTTATTATTAACAGAACATTTATCCAAAAAATCCACAAAATATTACACAAAATTGACTTTTAAAATGCCTTATGTGTATACGTAAGCTCATACATAACAGCAGTAACAGATTCATAAATATATATTACAAAGAATAAATCTTCTGTACAGGTAAAACATAGAGGAAGACACTCCTTTGTGCAAACGAATACAATGCCTGTCACTGTATTAAATATGAAGTGACATGGTAAATTACAGAATATAGGAATCAATCAAACATTGAACCCAATCCATACTTGGTAGATCTATAGAGGGCTCTGTTCATTGAAATGTGCGGATATGCATTGAGTAGTACATAGCTGGTCATTTAAAGGGAGTCCGAATTGTTAAAGATTGAACCTGTAGTTTTTTTTGGGGGGGGGGCTAGACTGTGTGAATGCACAGTACGTCAAAATTTCTTCATTTGAATTTGTACTCAAAAGTCAACTCGTAGAAATCTGACGTTATGAACAAGTGTAACATAAAAAGTATTAGTGTGCATCTCAAGATATGGGTATCTAAAAAGGGCAGTTCAACTACATTATATTTAGAATTCAAAACGTAATAAAGTTACTAGGAAGGGCCATTTGCATTATAAAATGAAAATTATTTGTCAACACAAATCGAGGTTTTCAATGCTCCAGACAAATGGGAAAACTCGGGTTTTGAAATGATCCCCGAATGTCCCAGTTTGCTTTTACATACGTTTTATCTACAGCATGTGGACTCAATTTTGTCACAGAAAATGTGCAATTTTTATGACGGAGTTGAGACTGAACAAAGACCTAGAGACCTCATTCCTCTTCATTTACATGCTCAAAGAAGAAATACCTGAAAAAAATGTGCATATTTCTGAGTGAGCACTTAACTTCAAGTTGAAATTTTTTGATGTGAAAGATTCAATGAGGAAACGTTCAAGCGTTGTCAAGGTCATGTTCAACCAGTCTTTCTGATATCTTATTCCTTTTTGGACTGGTGAGAAGTCTGAGAGCCAGTCTGAACTACAACAGCAATAAGTCTAACCACTCTGTAAAAAGAGGTGGTTGGTCAAATGCAACAAAGTGGGTGCGGAGGACATATATGTAGCCGAGTTTGGGTGGCTTGTTCTCGTATGTTCACGAACAGCTCGATTTGTCATTCTTGGGTTGGCCGCTCGAACGCCGCTGGTAGGCCTAGTTTAGTGACAAGCAACATGGCGGCGTCCATGTTGTAGTAAACTATTCAAGAGTTAATGCTTGGACAACTGGGCAGAATTCTTTTATATTTAAACAGGAACATTCACTTCTGTGTTGTGAAAAATACTGTTAATTTTGCAAAACATCCTACTGTCTCCAACTTA